ACCCACACTCTATGCTGGCACTTGGATTTACCAGCGGATGGTGTGAACAGGTTCAGCCTGGTCTGCCCCCACCTATGCCATATGTATAATGGTGGGTATCTTCCTCTGGCCTGGTCTGAGTTGCTCCATATCGTGGTTCTTGCGCTCACCTATAGGGGCTGTGTTCTGACAGAGGAGTTTCCCAGGCTCCTCCTTCAGAACCTCTTCCTGTACCAAATCTTGCACATACTGGTGGTTCCATGGGCCAGCCCTCCTTGCTGGCCTTCAATCCATTCCAGTTCTTGGTGTTGGCTGTTTCACCCCAACCAAAGTTTGTCCATACCCAGACACTGCTTACACATGGCTCAGTAGGGGCAGAGACCTAGCCTAGTCTCTCCTACATCTACCCAGGTTCTCCAGAGCACCAGATGGTGAAGGCATCTAGCCAAGCTTGGTGTGCCAGCCCAAGTCCACAATTGTACCTAGGGAGATTGCAGCCATATCCAGACCAGAATGCAGCCCCCACTCCAGCTCCCGCACCCTCCCGTGGGAATCCCAGCCCAGCAAGGGTGTTCTCTCAGAGCTCTCCAACCGAGTCTATTCCCAACCCTAGATTGTGCGTGTGCCAGTGGGTGCTCTGACCCAGTTGGCTTAGCCCCTCACCTGTCTAAGCCTTTGCCTTCAATACTGTGGTGTAGTATCCCTGCCTCATGCAGACCAGTTGGTGTAAGAGCCTAGATCAGAATGACATGTGCTCCATCCTGATTTCTATTCTTTTTTGTGAGTTGAAGTTTGCTTGGCCCTGCCCAGTCCACACCCTTCCAGTTGCAGCTCAGCCCGCCCCACATCCTACTTTAGGATGCACCTTCGGGTGGTGCTGCCTTGACCTGCCCAGATTGTCATCGGTTCCTTTACCCATAAGTGGTGGCAGGTACCATGGTCACTCCTAGCTTAACCCACTGTCACCATAGCTTGCAAGCTAACCTGCAGGACTTGTATTTCCACAGGGTTGGGCCCACAATTCTCCACAGAGTTTACCCCTAGACCAAGTTCTCTCACCTGCTGGTTAGTGTCTTGACCCAGCCAGATGTGACCAGTTCACTATTCCACCACCCAGTCAAGTAATGGTACCTAGCCCTGCCGGACAGGCCCCCATCCATAGCTTTGGTGTGGACTGGTGTGTGGCAGTCAGTGTTGCTCTATGCTAACAACCCATCAAAGTGTTCCTAATTGAGCTGGTCAGTCAATCTGTGTGGCCAAATAGACCTTATGGACACTCCCCTCCAAACCATCAGGTCTCAGTCCCCACGCTTGCCCGAAAGTTACATGACCCTGCTACTGGGAATCACCCAGAATTCATTTCTCACCTACACTAAAGCTGGCCTTATTCATGGGTGTCCCTAAACATCAATTTCATATCCTAAAAACCCGAGAGCTCGCCGCTGGGCAGCCAGCAGGCAGAGCCTGGCACCATTTGGTTCATTGGCCACCCAAAGCCAAGGACTGTCACTGCCTTTCGGCAGTGGCTTTGGCCTGAGTCCCCAGCCTTGGATTCCAGCCCAACAAGGGCACCCCCCACAACCACCACACTGTGGGAACTGCAAGCTGCCAACAACCCCACGGTCCGGCCCCTCCCAGACTCATCCTGCTGCAAGGTATTGGAGGCACAGCGGAGCTAGGACTTTAATCCAGTTCCCAAAGCTCCCTCATGGTGTACTCACCCTGAGGGAAGATCTCTCTTGGGCCTGGAGAAAGCCAAGGACTCTGTCACTGCCTTTTGGCAGTGGCTTTGGCCCAGCCCTCGTTTTTTAAACAAAAATTTTAATTCTAGCGCATTATTTTCTTGTATGTGTGAATAAAAGCTATTGTTCCTTCACCTGACCACTCCTAATTATCTCATCACATTTTTCATCAATAGAAACCAACTTATAACACATCCTAATCTTCACAGTGAGTTCTACATCACACACACACACATACACACACGGCAATCTGTTTGGTCAGAGGAAATCCAGTGGGTGCATTTTTTGTTTCGAGTTGTGGGGAGCCTTCAGGGAGGGGAGCCTTTGAATTTTCCTCCTTTCTTTGGGTTCCCATAAGAGTCATGAGTTGTGTCATGGTGGCATGGGACACAAGGTACATTGACATTCCTTTCAGAGCTAAAGGAAGACCCAGACACTCCTCTAATGAGGTTCTCTGAGGAGATCCACCAGGGATGGCAAATGAGATACAGATGTGCTCTGTGATGGTCAGCCCAGCCCTCCCCTGCCAGCCCAGGGCACACTAGCCACCAGGCAGAGCAGGCCACCCAGACCTGACCAATGGGAGATTTTACAGCTCAACAAGATGAGGCTGTGGCAAAGCCCATGTGAAATGATATTAACTCACCTTTCTGTGGCATTGGAAAAGAGCCAGGGACTTGGCGTGTGGTAGCTCATTTCGGTCTCTCAATGATCGTATGAGAAGGTGTTCACCCCTGCTTAAGTGTAGAATCTGAATCCCACGCTGAGAATGAGACATGGTTCTGGGATGGCACGGAGAGCTGCCTCCCATGGGTGAACAGGGCCTCAGCCAGGACTTGACTTAATCAGGAGGAAGCAACCGCAGTGGGTGCCAGCTGTGCAAAGCAAACTTCTTGTCCCTGCACTCACAGGAGTTACTACGGCAACTCATCCCCTCAACTCCACAGTCACTCAACTCCTCAGGCTGGGGGCTGCTCTCAGCCCTGGGGGCACAGGACCAGGGGGATTCCAGTTAGATCTAAGACACAGCCAGCACCAGCCTCTGAAAGACAATGCAGGAGGCACCCTCCCACCCACAGCACCCACTTCTTTCCTACTTTGCTACCCTGCTCCCTGGCTAGTGGTGCCCAAAAAAGCAGCTAACCTGAGCTCCCATACTCAAGGCTCTGGCTCTCCATACTAAGGTGCAGTCGGCAGGCCTTAGTGACCTTGGACAAGTCAACCCGACAAAGCCTCCACTTCCTCATCCTTATGGTGATGGTGGGGAAACAGTACCAATGGGTCAGGGATGGTTGGATAGGAAGACCTTGGCCCAGTGCAGTCCAGGGCAGGCAGCTGCAGTTCCAGTGGCCATTTGGGGACACTTGTGCTTCTAGAGAGTCCCTTGGATACCAGAGGTTATGGACCTACCAATGATGCTGGTGGCCGAGTTCCAAGGATGTGGCAGGGGATGTGGGAACAGAGCTTTGTGCCTGTCTGAAGGTATGGATCAAAGCATGTTGAAAAAGAAACTGAGTGACATTTCATCCAAACATTTAACAAATCATTAGGCCTTTATTTGTTATTCAGGTATTTGCTGACTTTGGTATTTGGGAGCGCTGACTCCAGGGAAGACAAGTTTGGGCAAACACTGTCCATTGGCCACAAGAAAATGGCTGCATAGGACATCTCCTCAAACTGTCATGCTGTGAAGATCAACCAAGATCCTGTGCAGGGCAGACTGTTTCTGTAAGCCAAATGTGGAGCTCGAGACTTCCTTTTTCTAACACGCTCCCATGTGAGGTGGATTTGGGAGTCAGCGCTACATGTAAACAAAGCTGCCTTTGCTTTGCTAGCTCTGGCTCAAACCCACAGAATCTCTGTTTGTGTCTGAATCGGTCTCTACATTATCCTCATGAGTAGCCTGAAAATGACCCAAGCAGCCCTTAACCAGAAATTGTTCCAGGTCGCGTCCTGTAAGTGAACATTAAGCGGCCTTCCGAGCGCGCCCTCTGCTGGTGAAATGTCGTTTTCTCCAAAAGCAGCACCAGCATTTGTGGCTGCCGGGATGAGCGCCTAGCAGGACCTCATCCCAAGGTTTAGCACTGTTCTAAGTTTTTGAAAACTTTTTCTTTCTCTGCTGATATAGAGACACCAGGGGCAAAAGAACACTTCAGAGAAGTTTGGAATATTCAAGTCACAGATAGTGTTACCATCATTCCTCCATTTCTCATCACCTACTGTGTGCAAAACTCACGACCGGGAATGGAGGGTTTCTAACCCCTGCACACAGAGACGGAGTAACAGATAACAGCAGGCCAGCAGCTCTAGCATTTCGTACTGGCTGGGTGTTTGCTCTGTGGCAAGCAGCCTCTTCACACTACCCTATTTAATTGGATTGGTTTCCCACCACAGTCCTGTAGTTGTCCTCATTGTACAAATGAGAAAATCGAGGTGCAGAGATGCAAGGTGACTCCCAAGTCAGCGGATTCCGAGAGTGATTGGTTATTGCCATCGGCAGCTCTGGAGACGCTGGGTTCAGGTGTGGTCAGGTGGTGGCTTCGGCTGGAGCCAGGGCTGGGAGGCTGTAGACAGCCAAGGGAAGAACAGCACCTCTGTCCACATGGCTTATCCATGTGTCTAGCCTTGGGCGTCTCAGGGTAGCTGGACATTGTTGATGAGCTGGCTTTCCTCACAGCAAGTATTCCACAAACTCAGGCTTCAATTGCAAATCATTTTACAACCTAGTTTTTAGTAGTGTGTGGCATTATTTCCACTGTATTTTGACCATCCAGACAGCTACGGGTCAGCTCAGATTCAAGGGCTGGGGGGCTGGTCTGTGTGTCCCAAGTGGGAAGAGCCCTTAAATCAAAAGAGGTGAAGAATTGATGCAGTGCAACTTGGAGACAAACCATCACACCTGGACTTGACCTGTTAACTGTCTGCCCCCATTCCGGTGTGCTCACTCCCTGTGCTCACTCCCTGTGCTCCGTCCGTTCCCACTCCATGCAGGCACAGCATGACATAGGCTGCTGAGCAGCAGGAAGTGGTTAGACTGCCTTTGCAGACCCTCACACAGAGGGGAATGTTACACACCTCTCTCCCTGAGGCGCAGGCATTCCCAGCTCTGGGAATGGCTCACCTGGGAAGGAGGAGCCTTGGAGCCCATCCCAACGGCACTATCACGTGATGCTGGGGCCTTGAAAGGAACCAGATGGTGCTAAAAAGAGAGAACATGGGCCCCCAGAATGCTGGCAGAGTGGAATTTCTGAACACACTGCTCCACTCCCATTCCCCCAGATCGGAGATCCACACTTGGTGATCTGCATGGACTGCTCAGCAGATACCATGACCAACCGCCTTCTCCAGAGGAGCCAGAGCAGCCCGCAGGCCGACGATACCACCAAGACCATTGCCAAGCGCCTTGAGACCTACTACCGAGCCTCCATCCCCGTGATCGCCTACTATGAGACCAAAACACAGCTACGGAAGGTGAGTCACTCACTGCCCCTCTCGCAGGAGCCAGATAGGGGCCGTGAACATCTGGCCGTGTATGTTCAGAGATGCTGTTATACTTACTGAATTCTTTTTCCAAGAGAGAGGAAACAGATAAGGAGGGAAGGAACACTGTATGCTGAAGGACCAAAAAGTCAGGAAAGACGGTCACTCCGCGTCCCTGTGAAGAGGGGCATGACACCGGGAAGGAGAAATAAGCCAGGACTAGGTCAAGATGATTTTATGTAGGAGGAATTAATTGCCCTGTGGGTGGAGGGAACCCCAAAGGGGAAAAACCTAATCAGGGTTTGAATCTAGAATGTTTGCACCATCAGCCTGGTAGAAGCTTTCCCCCAGAAAGTAAGGCTAAGACACCACTGGAAACAGGAACAGAATCCTGAGGATCCAGCCCCAAGTGGGGAAGGTGAGGGTCCAACTCTTGCTTCCACGCAATGAGACACATCAATCAATGAATGACAAATTGGTCTCTGCAACAGCCACAGGATGAACTAACTCCCTGGGGAAGCTGCTGATAACTCTTCCACACCTGCTAACTGTTCCTTTTCCAGATTCTTAATCAGTCCCAGGTGCAGAAGTCTGAAGGGTGCTTCTTGATGGCACCCAGGGAGCTCATCTCACTCTGTACCCCTGGCAGCCGCTAGGGTACTGGTGCGCACCGTGGTGCTTCACCTGGCCTGACCTAGCAGTCTGCCCACAGAGCTCTGGGATGGCTGCTACCAGGATACAACGTATGACACACAAGAGCAAAGCTTCTTCCTGCACTTTGTATCACCTCTCGTTACCACAGAAGCAAAGGCTCGGGTCTTTATGAACAAATACTACCCTCACAAAAATTACATGTGCGAGTGTCAAGTCTTTTATTAAATTCATTTATTTATATAAAGGACAGAGTAACAAGAAAGGGAAAGGAAGAAAAGAGATTTTCCATCTACTGCTTCACTCCCCAAGTGCTGCAATGCCAGGGGTGGGCCAAGCTGAAGCCAGGAACCAGGAATTTCACTCAGGTCTCCCACGTGTCAGAGGCCCAGAGCACTTGGGTCTCTCCACTGCTTTCCCAAAAGCATTTACAGGGTGTTGGATTGGAAGCAGAAGAGGCAGGACTCGAAACAGCAGTTGAATATGGGCTAGTGACCTCACAAGCATTGACCTGACCCACTGAGCCACATGCCAGCACTGAAAGCAAGGGCCTAAGATTCAGTGTTGCGGGGCAACTGTGGTGGCACAGCATGTAAAGCCACCTGCAACACCTGCATCCCATACAAGCTCTGGTTGGTGTCCCAACTCCTTCACTTCTGATCTAGCTCCCTGACAACGGCCTGGGAAAGCAGTGCATGGTGGCCCGAGTCCTCAGACTGCTGCCACCCATGAGGAGACCAGATGAAGCTCTTGGTTCCTGGCTTCCACCTGGCCCAGGCCTGGCCATTGTAGCCATCCACAGAGTGAACCAGTGGATGGAAGAGGTCTCTGTCTCTTCCTTTCTCAATAACTCCAATTTTCAAGTAAACAAATATTTTTGAGAGGGTTGCAAAGGCCTAACCACGATTGGACAAGATTAACCTTCCTGTTGTGCAACCTGCTGTGAGCACGGTACACTTGAGATTTGTAAAGGAGAGGTAAGCCCCAAAGAAGTTTAGGGTTTAACTGCCTCCCAAGCTAGAAAATCCCTTTCAGCGCACTCTCTCATGTAATTCCAACCTGAACTCTATAACCTCACAGACAACTGGCACCTGGAGACAGGAGTAGCCACCTTCTCCAATAGAGATTTCTGGAATCCTCGTGAGAGCTCTGTAAATCTGAAGAAAGAAGTGTCTCCAGGCCTTTGCACCTCGGTGCTTAGCTTCCCCAGCAGTTGGGATGCTGGTTGCTGAGCTGTGCAGAGGTGACTTCCATGAGCCTCTTGGCAAATAACAGACTTCTAGACCAGCCTGCAGAGCTATGTGGGCCGCATCCCTGAGGGCTCCCCGAGACCGTCGGGAAGATGCTGGCTTGGCCCAAGTCTGGGTCCTGTCCACGCAGCTGCAGTGAGCTTGAACAGAAGAGTGTAAGGCTGCTTCAAAAAGTTAATGGAAGTGGAATTAAATAATGTTTTCTGCTGGTACAAGATTTTTGAGGAGCAGGTGTTTGGCAGAGCAGTGAGGATGCTGTCTGGAACGCTCACACGGTACATCAGAGTACCTGGGTTTCAGCCCAGCTCCACTCCTGCTTGCAGCTTCTTGCTCTATGTACACCCTGGGGGTGATGGCTGGCATGCCTGTGTCCTTGTCACCCACATGGGAGGCCTGAGTTGAGTTCCATCTTGCTAGCTCTGGCCTGACCCAGTCCTGCCTGCCATGAGCATTTGGGGAGAAAACCAGCAGGTAGGAGTGGTCTTATTCTCTCTTCCCTCTCTTTCTGTCTGACACTCAAATAATGTTTTAAGTCTGCCATATTTTTTTTAATTTTTAAAATATCTACATATGAGAGGTCCTCAAACATTTTATTCAAAAGTATGTTATGAAAAATTATGTGCAGATTGCAAACATTTTTGTAGCAAAATGAACTTATCTTTTAATTCCATTTTTCCCACATCTGCATTTTTTTAAGAAGTTTCCTCATGTTTCTGATATAAATATAAGCCATGACTGGTTCTCAGCCTCCCCAGCAAGCAGCGTTTGGGTCCTCCACCTGAGAACGGGTGAGGAGCACTTTTCTCTGCTCTCTGGCTTCTCCCAGGCACCTGGGGCAGATAACTGAGTCAGCAGCAACACCTGCTAAACCTGACCTGTCTCGCCCTCCTCACAGCAGACACACAGCCAGTTGACCAGTTAGCCCAGGAGCGAGTACCTTTCTTTCACCCCTAGTGATAGATTGTGTTGTTGAATGAAGCCTCGAAGCATAGCATTTTGGAATGAAAAGCACCATCACAGGCCCGTGTCCTTAGTCCAGAGAACCCCGGTACGCATGTCAGAAGGCCTGAGTCCAGCCCTGTGAATTGTCCAACAATTCCCTCCCCAACCGTACTCCCTCTGAGAACCAATATGAACACCTTCTTGGGTATTTTCCTACCTCCCTACCCTGCTTTCTCCACCTTTTCTCTTCTCTCTCTTCTGACAGGGATCTCTTTAGCATACACAAACACACACACAGAGTTCTGATTCAGTGAAAACACTAGCCCCTGAACACCTGTTTCCAACACATGCCCAGGTAAACGCGTGTTGCAATGAAGACTCCCTTTGACTGCTGTGTGATGTGCCAGAACCTACACCCTGCATATCTCTCAGTCTTCTTATTTCTGGTTTAGCTGGGTTGTTTATATCTGCTTCCACAGCCATTCAGTAAGCACACACCCTGTACCTTTGACTTTTTCTTATAGGAGACCCTGCGGATCTACTCATGCAGGGGTCATTCTTTTTTTTCACTTTTGAATTCTTCTCTTTCCATAAAGCCTGGAAAGAATTCTTTGAAATACCCAAAAATCTCTGGGACTTCCAAGCTCCCTGAGGCTCAGCCTTTCTTATCAATGCCCAGCCTCAGCTGGGTCACATATCATGTCTGGCCCTGCCCTGGCCGGCAACTAGCAAGCCCACCCTCGCTCCTGCTGGCCCCGTCCAGACAGTGCTGCGAGTTGACAAGATCTATCCCAGAAATAAGTTGAAGGAAGATCCTTGGAAGCTCAGGAGTCTTTATTCAACTGCCAGTGGACTGTCCGGTCCAACACATATGGAAGAGAGGAACAGCCCCAATCAGCTGTGGTCAGGAGTTTTTAAGTAACAATCATCCAATCAACTAAGAAAGCCTTGGTACCTGATAGGAATCATTAACTAAGGTTATATCAGCACACAATATGCATTATCCAATCAGCTGTAGTGGCCTGGAACACAGATACTCAATGAGTTCATTCAACCAATCAAGCTTACATCAGTTCACAACATGAATTATGCCATCAGTAAGAGCCACATCCCACCCATAGTGAAGAACAGAACTAGGCAAACGGTGCTTCTATGTACAGAAACCAAAGCAAGATCTCATCCCAGAATGAGATATTTCCTTGAGATAAGCACTCTCACTCTCCTTTTGGGAATTTCCAAGAGCCCAAGGTCAGGATAAGGACACACCCCAGAATTGATTCAGAAGGCCTAGCCTCACTATTGCCACTTGTTATTGTCTGAGCTGTCGCCAAAGGTGCAGGAAGGACACTGAGGAGCCCAAGGCTCAGTCCTGTTACTTGACAAATCAGGCATTACTCTTCCCTCCTTTGTCTGAGAGCCTGATTCTTCTCATTCTTTATGCTTCTGCCAAGTCTCTCTCCATGCTATCAGCCATTCACTAGATTCCCACCGTGCCCTTTGATGCAGCTACAGACTCCTTGCACACCTGTGGTCCTGCCCACTGGCTTTGTACTCCTCCATAGAGATTTTTGTTTCTCCTCTGCGGTCATTAGGATCGCACAGTGGGTGTTGCCAGTGCCCGTGTCAGGGCAGTCCCTTCACTAGGGTCTACTTTAACTCAGAATCTTGCCAGGAGCCACTATCACAGACTTGGAGCTATCCTATGTGAGGCCTTTGACATATTCAGCAGGCATTTGCTGGGCTCTCTAACACCCAAGGCAAGTTGGGTAATGCCAGAACTTCAAAAAGGATCAAAGAAACTACAACCACAGCAAGGTGGTTAATGCCCCTACTGACAACATTCCAGGCCTTTGGGCACACAGAGTTCAGGCCCAGGGAGGAAGAGTCAAGGCCTCACAGAACAGAGGGCAGGAGGGCAGTAGAGCTGGATCCTAAGTGATGAACAGAGTGAATAAAGTCACTGGCACGCACTGGCATAGCTACCATCAGAGAGATGAGTTATACCCGAGGGAAATTAAGCTGAAGAGCAAGATTCAGGCAACACTGTCAAGGGCCTGGAACCCACTCATATCTTCATTCATTCATTCATTTTTGAGTCAGTAAATTTGCTAAACCAGCATTGGCCAATGGAAATATGTTGTGGGCCAC